CTGGTTTTTTGGGCACTTAGCGCGGGTTTAGCGCGTCGTCGCTTGCATGGCGGCGCGCGACAGGTATAATCCACAACGTTTCCGCATCCCCTTCAGTGCCGAAGTGGCGAAATCGGTAGACGCAGTTGATTCAAAATCAACCGTAGAAATACGTGCCGGTTCGAGTCCGGCCTTCGGCACCAAAAGATGCAAATTAAAGTCGCTTAAGGGCGGCTTTTTTTGTGTCAAAAATGCGATTATTGTGTATCTTTTCCGCTATAGTAACTTTTTCAAATTCAACGAATTTCCGCGCACTAACGGCCTTAGCATTACGCTGGGTTGTATATAATGGATAATTAATTTGATTTAAGTGGCTGTGCATATATGTTAAAGCCTCCTACCGAACATCCATGATTTTGGCTAAGAGCTTTCTCGCTGAATCTGAATTTGGTAGAAGGCCACATGCGAAGCATGTGATGTACCATATAGAACACGAGTATTTTTGGGTTATGAAAGTACCTGAAGCCCCACTATTCAAATACGCATGAGACGCTGCGCGAATGGTGTAAATTTGTGGAGAGAATACGGCAAAATGACTTTGAGAAAGTTAGTGGCTAGCTAACACAAAGATGATGACCTTAGAGAGTTATCATCTATGAGATGTGTTAGATCACTGATGTTGCGGAATGTTCAGTAGAGATAACAGATTCATTTATATAGAATGGTTTTTATTTTTCCCTAGGGACCCTGCGGTTATGAGTGCGATCACATTACGTCAAGCGCTGAATGTACTTGCGAAGTCATCTTCATTTTCCGTTACTACAGTGACAGATCGTCAAAAGGATGAATTCGATCAGCTGAAATCACAACTCTTTGTTAAACAAGACATTGAGAGTGATTTGCAACAATACTTGGATACTGCGAAGCCAGGTGAAATAATCTTTTTGTGCGGGAGTAGCGGCGACGGGAAATCCGAGATTTTAACTCGTTGTAAGTCAGATCCTCGTTACCAGCATAAGTTTAGCTTCCACCTTGATGCAACACATAGTTTCGCCCCTCGCCAGTCAGCCATCGATGCATTAGATGATTTGTTTGACAGAAATCATCACTATTCGCAACCTCTTCTGATAGGCATTAATACTGGCATGCTAGCTAATTTTGCCAGAGAAGGAGCTGAACGCCATAAGATAATTCGTTCCACCATCGACAGATTTTTATCTGTAAAACCGGATGGGAAACGTCCATATCAACAAGCCCACTATTCTTTCTTTGATTTTGAGCACTACCCAAAATTTCAATTTGATGAAAATAAACAGTACTCAACTTTCATTAAGTCATTACTAAATAACTTGACGAAGGAAGAAGACGGTAATTTATTCTATTTTGTTTTTAGGAGTGAAGAAGCTAGAAATCCGCATTTAAAAGAGGTGGCTAACTTTAAATTATTAAGTTTGCCTGGGGTGCAGGACGTTATTATCACTCAGCTCTTTAAAGCAAGATTAATCAAGGACCAATTTGTTACAACAAGAACATTACTGGACTTCATATATCATCTTATTATGGGGCCTGGTTATCTATTCGATAATCTCTTCTCAGTTGCTGAGAATGATTTGATTAAAAAAATCGCTGATTTTGATCCAGCAAGACTACATACATATGAACTTGATCAGTTTATTTTACGTTATGAGTTAGGATTGACTGACTCAGAGCTCGATAGTTTCCTGGGCGCGCTCGAGATGTTACATATTAAATTTGACCGCCAAAGTGCTCATTCTGGAGAAGCAGCCTCATTGATTAGGCTCTTCTGGTTATTGCAATATGAATCTTTAGGCAATGACTACCACCAAAAATTTTCAGAATTCTTTAGTGAAGCACTTTTCGAGCGTTATTCAGAAATTTGGCACATGCACAAGAATTATACTGCCAATCCAGAACAAAAAAAATTGCTCAATCGATTTTATGCTTTTGAACTCATAGCAGGATTACAGCGCTATGCAAACCGTAAAGCGCCGGAATTAAGTATGCAAAAAGAAGAGTTCTTCTTGGGAGAATTTGGAGGAGTTAAATTAACTGCACCAGTAGAAGTGAAACCTGATTGGGAAGCAATTCGTAATAAACATACCGCTCATCCAACGGGTTTTGACATCTACTTAAAGGTAGGACAAAACTCACTTCCCCCTGTTCATGTCGGGCTGAATCTCTTTGAACTTTTACACAAACTGAACAATGGCTATCGTCCTAATAAATATGATAAGAATGCCATAGTGCTTTTGGACGAACTTATTGAGCTGATTACTGAACAGGCCAAATCGAGTAGTGATATAAAATTTTATGATGGTAATTCTCGCGTTTATCGCGCGAAAGCAGATGAAGATATGATAACCATCAGTGGAATGGAGGGGTAAATGAATGTATCCTATTAGCGCGGTATTAAAAGTAGGTAATAATCAGTTAGATAGTTACTTGCCGATACGTAATAAAAATAACGACATCAACTGGCAATTTGTCACTGGATTAGTGCTTAGTTATGCTCTCAAGCGTAAAGTTGAGGCTTATAATCCTGAGCAATTCCGTGAAGACTGCAAAATGCATCTACAGGAATTGCTTGATGAACCCTCTTTTTGGAATGTGCTTGAGCGAATGTACTTCTCCAATAAAGATATTTTTCGTGTCTCTCCACTATTTTTACTTTTTCATGCTCAATTTACAGGCGATAAAATAAGTGAAGGCTCTGCAGCAGATAAGCGTTTAGGAACACTTTTTGCTAATTTAATGGGTGACTTAAGCCTTAAGTATCCGATTCAAGATAAAATCAACTTCATTGAGCAAGAAATGTTGAATAAGCTTAATGAAAAAGTAAAAGTGCTAGGCAAAGGCCCATTTCCGGATGAACAACCATACCTCCCATACATGGTTACCTGTTTTCAATCAGATCTGGAGTTTTTATCCCAACATCCGCAATACCTTTTACAGGAATTGACCAATACTTTGCGCTTATACGCTTTTAGTTGGTGCGCACAGTTAGCTCTTAATGTGGATAACTGGCAGGAAGGCGAACCACAAAGCAAATCTTTATTTTTTATACTTGATAGCGAAAAAGCCAGCTCTGAACGAGAAAAAGTTAAACGTTATGGATATAAATTATTCGCAAGTCAAAGTGAAAAACTTTTCCCTATACTCTCTGCATTAGAAATTTTGCAATGGGGAAAAGGTGAGAAAAAACGTCCCCTATGGCAAATTTACCAAGACACTTTGAATGATCTTGGCTCATCTCCAAAGATAATAGAGGATCTTAATAATTATTTACAAGCATTCATAGAAGATCGCGGTCTTGCTTCACGTGAACGTGTTACAAACCTAGAAGGTGCATTCAAACAGTTAATCTCGGTATCCCTTGAACAATTCCAGGGTAAAAAAGATCGCGCAACTGTGAATCGTAAATATACGAATGAACTGGAAAGCGAGATTTGTACAGACTTTATTCAGGTTCGTGGTCGTGCGGGAAAAGTACTTGTATTGAATCAGGATCGTCTATTGTTACTGACCAATCTTACTGTTGGTAAAAATGATAAACTCAGGTTGCATGAGTTACTAAGCGGCTTTGAACAGCGCGGTTTTTATCTCGATAACCAATCGGCTCAGACGTTGGTAGCGTTTTATGAGCGCATGGGGAATGTGGAGCGAATGAGTGACAGTGGAGATGCAGTGTATGTCCGTAAAACAGTATGAAATTTATTTAGCAGAAACTTTCATTGAATGGGTTAGCGATATCATACAGCCAGGTGAACGCTACCAGTTCAAATCTCCAGATCCTGATAATGCTTTAAAACTCTGGCAGGCATTTGTAGAACTGTCAGATGAAAAAAAACTTGAGATTGCTCCTGGCCAATTTGTTTCAATCCTGTCCTGTAATGATGTGCAACTTATTCCTGTTTTGCATGGTGCTGAAACTCCCGCATTTACTGAAAACTACATTTCTCATCTTCGCGATAAGGTAGCGGGACGAAGCGGAGCTTTTGCCCAAACGGCGTTGTTAATCATTCACAACAGCATGCTTGATACTCTAATCAACAGTACAAAAGACGTGGCGGCTCCTGATGCCATCTGGTACCCGCAAACATTTTGCCATCAGTTGGAAAAACTAATTACCACTGACAGTAATCGCTCAGAGTTGTCCCGTTGTTTGTTAGATGATCAACTCGCAACAGTACTTGACGAAGGTGCTACTGTATTTGGTTTTTCATCTTTATACCGTTTGTTGGAGGATGGTAATTTAGATTTCTCAGAGCTCCATCTCTTCAAAGATGATGAACTGCTTAACTTTAGTCAAAAACAATTGCGTACCAGGCTTAATGAAAACAGGAAATTATATCGTCAGATTGAAGACTGTGTAGAGCGTTACAGTGGGCAACTGGAAAACGTTCTTACAGAATTTAGTACTAAATTCATTCAGGAGCACTTCGTTGATAAAGACGATTGGCGCGAGCTTGATTTCTCTGAGTACAGAAAAGAGAAAGAGCTGAATAGTGAGCAAAAGCTTGTACTTGAAGCCGTTACGGTAGAAAACGGTGAGATTTGGCAACGAGCTAAGAGTGCGAGTAAGGCGGGTAAGCGCGATATAAGTTTGCTGGTTCAGGTTGAGCCTGGGCAGTCGATTGTAGAGCTGGAGTTTAGTTTTCAAGGGAATGATCTTCAGGATGACCAGATAAAAATAGCCCATCACAGGCAACTAAAAAAAGAACATTTTTGGCGAACTAGCCGGGCAGGCGGGAAAACGTCTCGGATTATGGCATCGGTACCATTTGATGGTAAGCCGAGCTTCTTTAGCCTAGAAATCACTAATCGCAATAATTCCGCGGAAGAATATAAATTCCGGCTTTTGCTCGTTGAACAAGGCCAGTTCTGGTTAAAAGAAATTAAACATTGCTACCGCATAGAACCCGGCAAAGGACAAATAACATTACAACTTGAAGATAATGAGCTTCGCATAGCGGAGTCAGGAAGTTTGTCCTGCATGCTGGATGGGGAAAGTGAGGATATTGATTGCCGTCAATATGCTTTAGTTAATTTTGATACTTTAGCGAATCAAAGTGATTTGGTTCAGTTTGCGCTCACTTCGGGTGATTCCCGTTTGTTGTTTAATATTGAGGGACCGGGAGCTGAAGAAGGGTTAACGTTACCGTTACTTTTCGACCAGAGCCGTTTTAGTAAACTTTTCAAAGAAGAGGGAAATGCAACCTATAACAGATCAAAGGGTCGCATTATACTCGAAAACACCGAACATAAAGTTGTTGGTGTACGCCAACAGCTATTGATACTTGAAGCCTCACTAATTGATCAACGTTTACTTGGTATTGAATACGACGATAGCATTTTTGAACTGGATGAACTTCTGATTATTTACCCTGAACTTTATAATGCCTACAAGCAGCTATTTGCTTATTATGAAAGCCGAAATACATTGCCTAGCCTGGTGTCGTGGTCATCTGAATATCGTTCTTTGATTAGCTACATTATTCATATTTTTGAAGCGGAATTAAAGAAAATTAGTTTGAGCAGAGCATTGACCTCACAAGAAAAACGCCTTTTACATCTGGGTGTATGTCGTATCGATTCTTGTGATCGTTTATCTCCGCTCCATCCCTTGGTACTTGCTTATCATTTACAGCTGGCAGAAGCTATTGTATCAGAGTTTGAAAAGCAAGCTTCGGGATCATTCGCAACTTTACCGTCCATAACGCTTGATCGTCTCGTTGTATCCGGATTAATGCCTTTTGTTTACCATAATGAACATGAATATGCGCAGTTGCAGCCGATGGAGGAAAACCGCTTCTGGATTGAAGTTGTTCCTCAGCGTCAGGTGAGTCATGACTACGTTAAACGTTTGGTAAAAGATAAACTCAATGAGTTCACGGATGCTTATGCACGACTATTTCAAAGCGCAGGGAACAACGCATTAATTGTTAATGCTATTAACCAAGGTAATGCAAAAGAGCTTTTTTTAGGATTAGTAGAATATTTTAAACAGGAAAAAGAAGACGCTATTGCAATACATGTTAACTGCTATGACGTGCATTTATTGCCTAACATGTTCGACCACTTTGCTGAAAGTGGTAGCTATGAGCAGCTTAAAAATGACCTAGATCTTAATAGCGGATCATGGCGTGCTGAAGCTGATATGCTGATTGATCTTTTGCGCAGCCGGTTAACATTCAGCAAATTCGTGTTGCCATCTGAAAGTGAAAAGCTTGCCTATGCCCATTTAGCTTTTTTCACCAATACGGCCCCGGTGGATTGCCGGCAAATTCGCATTGAAGATGCTTCGAGCGGGGTTCTTTGCCATGGATTAATTGCGGGAGAAGGCGCGGAAACGCAAGGAGATGCTTACTTTACTGCATTTGGCTTACGTGGCGTTGATACTGAACCCTATATCGCTTTACGATTGGCTCATTTAATTGGTTGTCTGTGGCAGCCTGCACGACAGAGTAATAGTCAGTATCACGGACAGGGAATTGGCTTGGCTGTCAGCGGTAGTTTTAAACAACTTCTCAACTATTCTTATAATAGTGCACTTTGGACGACTATTATCGATCCTAAAGTAACGCTTGATTTTTTCACAAATCAGAAAGATGTCGTGCTCATTCACTATTCTGATCAATACACTAGTTGTGCAGGTTATGATGCCGTTACAGTGACTAAACAAGTTGACTTATTTCTTCGCCTGCTTAAGACAGAAAATCAATCTGATCAGCGCGCAGTGGACAGTCAGCATTTGCTTGCGGAGTTCAATGCCTTTAACGGCGAGTGGTTATTGAAAATGTTGCGCTCTAGCGATAAAGAACGTAAGGAGAAGCACGGCATCATTGGTGCGTATAAATTTGTGCAATCAATGTTGAGCAAATCCGATATTTGCTGGATTCCTCTTTCGGTTGCAGAAATGATTCGAGTGTCAGGTAATGTCGGGCTGAAAATGAAAGAAAGCGATTTATCCCGAAATCTTCAGGGATATCGCAAAGGAGCTATCTCAGACGATGTCCTTTTTGTTGGTTTTAAAGAGGATAATCTTTATTTATTACCACTTGAAGTTAAAACGGGTGCACGCCCTGACTACAATTACGCAGGTCAGCAGGCACGAGAACTAAAACGTTACCTGGAGCAAGATATCCTGGAGCCTAAAACTTTGGCTTCACAGCTATATCGAGCGCTTTTCATTCGCCAGGTACTTATGCAGGTAGAAAAATTGCGTCTCTATGGTGTTTTAGATAGCTCTAAACTCTCACCAGTACTTAATCGACGCGAATGGTGGCTAACGGGTGATTATCGTTTAGGTGAACTGGATAACTATGTGGAAGGCTTTGTTGTCGCACATGTAGATAGTGGAACCTGCTTTGATCTGTCTTATAAAGAGACGGCAGATAATATTTTACAGATTGAAATTCCTTATTCGCTGTTATCAGCATTGATTACTTCGCAAGGCGGTCAAGAATCATTATCGGTACGCTATCGTGTGCCTGAGAAATATATTCTTAAACCGGCATTTAACAGTGTTATTAACAATTCATATAACATAGTTACACATAAAGCATCAGTGGATAATGAAAAAACAACAGAATTAGAAGATCCATTCAAGCCTGAAGAGCCGTCGATAACTTCTATAATGAGTGATAAACCATTACAGATATTATTCGGCCATGATGCAGTTCGACAAGATCCACTGTACTGGGAGCCAACTAATACAGCGAAGTTTATGAATACTAATACGGGGATTATTGGCACAATGGGAACTGGTAAAACCCAGTTTACTAAGTCATTAGTTACTCAGCTTATGCGTACTCAGACTTGTAACGTTGATGGTAAATCCATTGGCTTACTTATTTTCGATTATAAATCAGACTACGTGGATGAAGCTTTCCTCCATGCAACAAATGCTAGAAAATACAAGTTGTTCAAGCTTCCTTACAATCCCTTGTCATTATTTGGTGACACTCCAATGTTGCCTATTCATACCGCAGGCGGGTTGTCCGAAACGATGGCTAAAGCGTATGGTTTGGGCCATAAACAGCAGCTTAAGTTAGAAAATCTCATTCTTGAATGTTATGACGCAGCGGGTATTTCACCAGAAGATCCTTCTACATGGTCAAGAACCGCGCCAACGATTGAGGATGTGTGGCAACGGTTCCTCGATCAGGAGAAAGTTGAAGAGGATTCATTATACGCAGCATTGTCCAAACTGGCTCGTTACAAGATATTCGAAACTGTTCCTGAACAGATGACAAGTCTCTACGAATTGATTGATGGAGTCACTGTAATTGAATTGGCTGGCTATCCGCCGGAAGTTCAAAACCTGGTAGTCGCGCTGACATTGGACCTATTTTATGCTCAGATGCAAAAGCGTGGAAAACCGGTTGTAAGAGGCGACTATCGTCAGCTCACCAAGATGATTCTCGTGGACGAAGCCGATAACTTTATGCGTCAGGATTTTTCAAGCTTACGTAAGATTCTGAAAGAAGGACGTGAGTATGGGGTTGGCGCAATCTTGTCCACCCAAGAAATAACTCACTTCAAAACTGGTGAGAATAATTACGCGTCATATATTCTCACATGGGTGATACACCGCGTATCTGAGATAAAAAATGCTGATATTAAAGCAGTTTTTAACATCGATGATAAGAATGAACAAGAGTCTTTGATGGGGCAGATTCGTCAGCTTGAGAAGCACTACAGCCTGTATGTCGATGGTAAAAAGCAGGTAGCAAAGATGCGTGATCGGGCGTTTTGGGAATTACAGACTACAATCGTTAAGGAATAATTAAGATGGCTACTGTTACAGACTTTATTATTTTAAACAAGAAACTTGAAAAGCATTTTAAATTGCTTTGTGATATTACGGGGTTCGATAGTTCCTGTTCGCTTACAGAATTGGATAAGAAAAGATTTGGTTTCTATTTCTATATCTTAGAAAATGTCTGTGATATTGATGGTGATTACGATGGGATAATTGATTCCATAATAGATACAGATTTTAATAAAAAATTCTGTGAAGAGTCGATTAATGATTCTGGAATGGATGCTGTATTTATTGACGAAGAAAAAAAATGCGTGAAGTTATTTAATTTTAAATATAGAGAGAGTTTTAATGCAAATAAAACACAATGCTTAAATGATAATTTCATTTCAACAAAGTTCTTGAATTTATGCTTGCTTAAAGATAAAAAAGATTATTCTAAGTACCCCACAAAACTTAAAGAAAAGTTAATAAAATTAAATGATATTTTTAATAAACCTAAGGATATATGGGATGTGAAGTTATATCAAGTCAGTAATGAAGCTCAGGAGGTGAGAGAGATTGATTCTGAATTACAAAATTTAGCGAATATTTATCAAATTCATATCGAATCATTGGCTTTACCCACAATCTCGCAATTTATGTCAATTCGTCCTAAGGACATTAATGCAAGCATGATAGTTAGTAAGGATGCATTAATGTGTTACAGTGAAGACAACAAGGCAACGGCTAAATCTTATATTTTAAGAGTGCGCTGTGATGAGATAATCAGGATTACATCAGATAACGAGCTTACTCGGCGGGAAAGAAATATCGAAGATATATCGGTGTTAGCTGATTCAACTCTTGAGTTTGGCGTTCTCTTTGATAATGTTAGAGGGTTTGTAAAAAACTCCAAGTATAATCCTAATATTGGGGCTACTATAAAAAATAACCCAACTAAGTTCTTTATGTATAATAATGGTATTACCATGGTAGCTAAATCAATATCAGCCACAAACCTGGCAGGCAATCAATCAATGCGATTGGATATTGACGGCTTTCAAATTGTCAACGGTGGTCAAACGCTTAGAGCAATTCATAACTTTAATCAGCAGAATAAAACTAATATAAGTAATTATTTATGCAATGCTGAAGTGCTATTAAGAATTTTTATGCCAGATACTGAATCAAATGATATTCATAAAATCGCTGAGTATACAAACAGCCAAAATTCAATAAAGCCATCTGATTTAAAATCATTGTCTTCAGAACAAATTGATATAGAAAGATATCTCGGTGAACACAGTATTGAATATATTAGGAAATCAGGAGATACTGGATCTGATGATGGAAGGGATTACGATTATATGATCAAAATGGAAACATTTGGTCAAATACTCAAAGCTATTAGCGGTCATCCTGAAAAATCCACAAACAGCATAAAAGATATATTTGAGAAGGATTATGATTCTCTATTTATTACGAATTTTGTAATGGAAAAGGCTCCTGAGTTAATTTTATCTTACTACGGAGTGATCAAGGCCTACAAAGCATCAGATTACCGTGGGAGTCAAATAAAATACCTATATGTACTTTATCTACAAGAGCATGGCACTAAAGAAATAACTTCTGAAATTATTACGAAGCTTGAGAGCTGTATTCTTGATTATAAAATCGAGGATATGTCTGTTGTTAGGAAAATGGGATTGCTTGGGTTTAAGGAATACGTTAATAAATGTTTTGGTATAAATTGAAACTAGTCGTTCAATACACTACAAAAATCTATCATAGTGTATTGAACTAAGTTAAGCGAAAAATCTATGTCAATTACTGGCGGTCTATTAACTTTTGACCGTCAGATATCTATAATCCTAACGTCAAATCACGTAGGCTTCGGTAATTCCTTAACGCCGCTATTCCATCCTCGACATGTGCTGCCCATGCCTTCATCATGTCTTTATGAGATATGTGTGGATAAAGCATTTTCAGGGAGAGTTCTGTGGTTTGTAACGTATCTCCTAGCCATGTGATTTTATCAAGTACTAATGTACCGTCTAGTTTCTTGCTATCTAGTTCGGATGAATAACGGAATTCACCCTCGACAGAACGGAAAAATGCCAAACGAGCAGCTATATTTGGAGTAATTCCAGTATAGCCTTTAAGTTTTTTTAGCTGTTCTTCAGTTTGTCTACTAAGTTGCATTCTATTCGGGAGCATTAAATCATCTCCTTAGTTAATTCCCAGAAATATCCTGGTTTAAGTGCAGATGACTTTGTCCGAGCATTAAACACGATCTCATATGCATGTGAAATATCATCTCTAAGCTGATCAACAAAATATCTTTCATCCACTTCAGTATCAGTCGAAAGCAACACGACTTGGTGACTTGCATAAGGGAAGTAATGGTTGATTAACTTATCTCTATGCTGAGAATCTAGGCGTCCTAGCGGAGTATCAATGATCACAGGCAGATCCCTCCCAGATGTTTTAGCTAAAGCTTCAAGGATCGCTATCGCATAAATTTGCTTCTCTCCTGCGGAGAGTAATTTACGGTTAATAACTCTGTTATTCTCGTCCACCAGTTCAACATCAAAGGTTTGTGGATTAATATGCGCATTCAGCTGCAAATCTTCTTTCCTGGCTAACTTACGGTATGCAACTTCAAAGTTAGCTGAGAGGGTTTTTACTCGAGCCTGCGTTAACAGTTCACTGTATCGATCAAGCAAGCTGATTGTCTCTTGCGCATTGTTGAATGCGCTATTAAAGCTGTGCTGATTGCGTGCTGCATCGTGAGCCTTTTGTACCTGGCGAGCGCAATCAAGTTGCTGTTGTTTGGTATTTTTTGCTTCTTCAAGCAATGAGCGATACTCCTGCCGCTTAGCTTCACGTTGACGATCCAGATCACGGAGTCTTTCAAAAATATCCATCAGCTGATCATCTTCCGGTGCCCGTGCGATGTTTGCTGCGGCTTGCTCTAACTGTTCTTCCACCTCTGCCAGTTGGTTACGATAAAGATCGAAGCGTTGCCAAGCTTTCTTACTGTCCTTTTCGATGGCCTGCTGAATCATCCCAGCTTCACGTTCAGATATGTCAAACAGCAATTCACCTTTTGGTTTATCAGCAAGATATGTTTTAAGGTTATCTTCTATAGCCTCAGCAGCAATTTTGCCTGTGCTTCCTGAACGGAAAGAAATGTCACTCTTGAGTTGCGTAAGGAATTGATTCAACTCCTTCTCGAAGCTATTTGCCTGTTTTATTTGCGTCTCTGCACTAATCTGTTCTAGCAAACGACCCAGAGTCTTTGGAGCTAAAGCATACGGTAAAGAGCTATCACACTCATGACGAAGCGCTTTTTCCAGGCGATCTTTTTCTTTTAAAAGCGTCTCGACCTTCTGTTTCTCCTGGGTTTTTGTTTGAGCAAATGCCCCCCCTTGTGCATTTAGTAGGGTCTCATTCTGCACAATTTCCTTGGAGATTAGGTCAATACGCAATTTAGCGAAATCAGCCTTTTCAAGAAGTTGCTCGGTTTTAAAGGCAAATTCTTTAATCTGTTTCTCAAGTTCAAGCAGCTTCTGCTGTTGAGATTCAGCCAGTTGACCAGATTGTTGGCGCTTCACGAAAATTGTTAAATCGTTCCGGAGCTTCTCGATTAGATCCAGACCCAGCAGACGACGCACAGCCGTACGGAGGATGTTTCCCGATTCGTCCTCAGCAAGCTCCGCAATTTTTTCACCATCGAAGAAAAACAGGTCGGCTATGCCGTGGGGGATTAATTCATTTAAAAAACCCTGGCACTGATCATAGCCAAGTCCTTCAATGAGTTTGCCATCCTGCTGTAAGGACAGTTTGTCTCGCTTACCTTTTTGCCAGGTGCGGGTAACGGTAAATTCAGCCTCCTGACCACCTTTGTTGTACGTAAAAATAAGCTCGACTGAGGCCTCATCGGGCTGTTCACCCAAAGTTGAGCCGTTGTGTACCAGAGCACTAAGCTCTTCCACATACTCTTGCTGTTGAGTAGTTGAACCAAATGCAAGCCTTCCGTAAAGGGCCAGGCGGATAGCGGAAAGTATTGATGTTTTACCTGCGCCGTTTAACCCACCGAATAAAACGATAGGGCGGGGATTATCGTCGTTCTGTCGTTTTTTAGGGGCCAGATCGATAACATGGGTTCCATTGAAAACCCGATAATTACGCAGTACCAGCTGTTTAATTAACACGTTCTTTTTCCTCACTGGTAAGCAGAATTGGTTCGCTGACTTCGGTAATTCTCCGCTGCAGCATCTGCAGTTCAGCTTCTATGCTTGCCACTTCTTCCTGATGAACATCACGTTCATTACGTTTCTGCAAAGCTTCCTGCTGTTGTTTTATCTCTTCAAGACTTCCCCAGTCTTGCTTGAGGATCGTCCCTAGCTTGTCGAAGATCCCCTGGCGGCGGCTCAGGCCTTCCATCGAAACTTCAAGCTCGATCAATTTCATTACCATTTCAGGGACAACATCAAACCCTTGTGCAATTTGCTCGAGAAGTTCGGCATCGCTGGCGTCGAAACGTGATTGATCGTCTATAACCCAGTCCAGATCCTTGCCATAAACCTCGCGATAAATACCCGGTAAAGTATCGTACCAGTCAGGTTCATTAGGATCCTTCAGCCATTGCTGACGTATGGCATGCAGCTCAGGTTCTGTGATTAATGTAATGGTATGACCTTGTGCGTTCATATCACGCTCAATCGTCAGCAAATCCTTCAACCATTCCTGCCGATACTTAAGCCAGTAAGGGCCTGGAACATGTTTACGCTCAGCTGTAAGTTCTTCGCCATCCTTCGCATACTGATAGCTCACTTTACCTGTGCGTCGTTTATAGTTGCGGTAGGTGTCTTTGTTTACTGGATCGGTAGTGAAAGCCAGCAGATCGCGGTATTTCAGAAGTGGCGACATCCACTCTTCACCGTTCTGGATTAAGCTTTCCATTGCTTTATCTTTTGTGACGACAGTACATGTCCAGCAACCAAAGCGGGAGTTACCACAGGAAGGCGTGCTGTCATCAATAACTAGCGGGCATTCACCTTGAGCTGAGGAATCCATATAAAGAGTCCACAGCGGGCGGTTATTACCGCCCCAAGGGCTTTCCCACTCATCAATATCATCAGGCGCATATCTGAATGCACCACGCAGTAATTTCCATACATCTTCAACATCCCAGGTATCAATCGGGGTGTAAATGAAGGCATTCGAAAGAGTGGTATGACGTGCAAGGCGCGAACCGTCAATCTTATGCTTTGCAATAACCTGTGCACGTGATGCGCTTTCACTGCTGCGCGATCCAAGAACGACAATAACTTCCTCAAACTGGCTGACCTTATCTTTGATAAAGTCACTTACCGGGTTGATTTTCATGCGTTCTGTACACCAACGGAAACTACGGGTAGGCGCTGGATAGCCTTTACCAAGCAGGTTTACCCAGAATGTCTCGTTGGTTTTTGGGGTTACAGCATGTTGTGTGATCGGTAAGCCGTCGCGCTTAGCGCCAGCTTCAATCTGGAGCATCGTTTTTTTAATGAGGTCTACTACAACCGGCGTCTCTACGAGCGTGTCAGAGGAAACGACAAACACATCCTTCGTACGCATTTCCGGCGGAAGACCCATCAACGCCAGATAAACAAGAGTAATGACTGCTGACGAATCTTTACCGCCACTATAGCCAATCACCCAAGGGCGTTTATCTGCGCAGTAGACACGCTGAACTTCAGAGACAAAATCAGCGAGAGTACGTCCAGCAAATTGCTCTTCGTTTATGAAATCTTCATAGTCGGCCAGATCATAGGCCTGAGTTAATGTACTCATGATACAACCATCTGAGCTTCAAGCTCTTTTTCTTCAGGAGAAAGGGGGAGAGACAGCGCAATTTTTAAAGCGTTGCAAGTTAGCTGAATGGCGGTGCCGGTTTTGCTCAGTTTGCCATGCTGCATTGCGCGCTTAATCATCTCAGGATTACTTTTACGCCAGTCAAAGGTTTTTAGCTTCGTAAGTTTTTCCTGCCAGTGCTCAGGTTCTTCAGTCAGTAGTGAACGGCCCAGAAGGCCTAAAGCCTGCAAACCGATACCATGGGCATGCACATAATCCTGGCGGAGCTGTGCCGGAGATACTTCTTTGCGTGCAGCAAGCTGCCAGTCTGGCATGACTTTGAAAATAGCCTGCCAGTATAGCGTAGCGATATGTGTATTGTCCTCAATGCTGCCTACTTTAGGGTCTTTACCAAGCAGGGCGCGTGTTGCCTGTTTAATGCTGCTTAGCGTAAACAGTTTATTGGAAAGCAAACTGATACTCGATTTCTCAAGTTCAGTAAGACCAATAAAGGGCTCGATAGACATAGCAAGATAGCGAGCAAGGTTCGAGCTTACGTCGCGATGATCGTACAGCGCGGATAATGATGGGCTAGGGCGTATTGCGTATTTATTCAAGTCAGCAAACATCTGCTGACTACGCCTTAAACCTTCATCAACAAAGAACAATACGGGGATGTTGTCCTGCCCTAATTCAGGACGCTCCGAAAGGGCATCCTCGATAGCCTTACGGCGATGTTGACCATCATTGATAAGAATTTGCGCATCCATTGGAACGCGAAGCGTTCCAAGATTGTTGGAGTTTTCGAACTCGTCAAACTGTACATCGACCGCAATGGATGCAGTTAATGCAGAGAATACGTAATCTTTAGGGTTTTCAAGTAAGTAACGCACCATCTCTGGGATGCGTGATTTATTCAAGATACGCTGAGCGCGCAGCTCCGGCGGCACGTCTGTCTCATCGAAACTGAAGATCTTCGGAATGATGCGCATAGGGCAAGTGGCGATATAGAATGGTCGTCCAGCCTGGACGCCCCTCACTGCGGGGAAAGAGTAGCAATAATCTGCATCAAAGTTAGCCATGTTCTAGTCCCTGTTTTAAAAACGCAATTACGTTATATTTTACGTAAAAATTTCTTAGAACGAAATTTTTATGATGATAAAACACGAATTGTTAAAGATTTACGTATGATTTGACGTAACTCTTTGCTGTGCTTGATTCTTCTTCCATGTAAGCCTCAATCCGCAGATTTAAAGTTACGACGTGGCCATATGAGTTCAGGATTGATGCCAACTGATCCTGCAAAGAAGAATTTTACTTTGTGTCACGGTCTCTTAAGAGCGTTAATCGTTGTGTAGGCGCTGAGACCGAAGGTGGCGAGCGAAATCTCGTTTCTTTTTGAGAGCAGCTAAAACGCACGCTTTGTACCAAACCATTCTTCATATCTCCTTGTGGGAAGTTGGCTAACAAAACACTACGTTATTCGTAGCTTTTTTGGAATCTCTAAAAACTACGTTTTACGTAGTTTTGCGAGGGTGCTCGAGAATTTTTGAAAATCTTACATAAAAATCAATCTAACGGTTGCACTACGTAAAACGTAGTATCTTCCTTCGGCATTAACTACGATTATCGTAGTTATGAAAACATCCAATCCCCACAATCAGCTCTTCAGTCGACGCCTCAAAGAGGTGCGCTTAGACATGGCGTTATCGCAAAAAAGCCTGGGTATTTTGGCTGGCATAGATGAGTTTGCAGCGAGCGCACGTATCAACCGCTACGAGAAAGGGGTTCATCAGGCAAGCATAGAAGTCGTCCGGCATCTCGCTAAAGTTCTTGAAGTGCCTGTAGCATACTTCTACACAGAAGATGATGAACTTGCCTCTTTAGTCCGTCTTTGGCCGAAGCTGGACCCAGAGAAGAAGAAAAAAATCCTTCAGCAGCTCTAAACGAAAAGAGTGCTTCGATGTACTTTCTCCTCTCGAAAAGCTATCCATAATTTAAAACCAAAATCTTGCGTTAGAATCTGTTCTTAACTCGTCTGATTTCATTTCCTGAATCCCCCTCGCAAATTTAGAATTTCCTCCACCCAAAACCGCTGTATTTATATTCAGCCCTGTATAATGAACACCAGAAATTACGCCGAACGGCAAAGGAAGTATCAAAGAGAATTTGAAGAAGAATTCGCGATATGAAGGTGCTGCAACACCCCCATACCGCTAACCACAA